TTTAAAAACGCCCGTTCATTCATAAACGAAACACCGTTGTGTTTGAATGGAGATGCGCAGCGGCTCCGCTGTGTCTTTGTTTTAAACTATTTTCGACGACGAAATAGAGCAAAATCAGACAATAGTGTTATAGTCAGACAATGTAAGTCACTTAATATTAACTTCTTGTTTATTGAATTGTATTGTATTAAATCAGTATCACATTTACAAACTCCTTTAAAAATCATTAAAAGCTGGCACTCATCTTAGTTCATCGCGAGCTCACATTTCTAATCAACGAAGCTCTCTACACTGCGCAATGAATCTCTCGCTTTGCTTATGAAAGGATTTGTGAGATATGTCTGTGGTTCATTACTCAACGCTGCAAAAACACGTAGAAACCATTGAAGCTCCCCTGAGCTCACTCACAAGTATGATGATGATCGGGTCAGTCGCACTGGTGCTCCTAAAAACATTTTCATAGTCGCACGCAGTAGTTTTCAGTCGCAAATGCGACTGAAATGGTCGCACTGTCGAGCCCTGCATGAGTGAGTCATTGAATCATTCATTAAACCGATTCGTTCAAACTTTTTTAAAATTTCCCCCTTCAGCTTAATGCTATATTTTCGACTCGTCATGAAAGTGTATCTCATGCATGCTTTTAAAAGTTTTGCCAATTTAAGCATTCAAAAGATTTCGCGAAGCATTCAAGAAATCGCTAAATTCGGTCCTCCAGCGCTGCTTTCTGATTTGCGTATTTGGCTTAAACGGCCAAATACACACAAAATTAAGTCAAAATGCCCGTTGTGGTCTTATCTAAGTTAAAATAAAAAGTTTTAAATGAACGTAAATCTGATGTGTGTGTCAGATCCGTGCATTTGTTCTGTTATTAATGTCGATTAAAGAATGGAAGAAAAATCACTCTGCTCTTGACTGAATAGCTTCATCTTTAATAAGGATTAAACTATAAATACGTGGAAAAACTTGAGATAAATACTGCTCACATTAAGCAAAATTAACAGTCTCACGCAGATGTAAGATGCAACGTAAAGTTTAAATTTTAATGCTTATGCAAACAAAAAATGCATAGTGCTGCTAATTTTGTTTATTGTATTGTTTGTTGGTTTTTCGACGTTAAACCGTAGCTTTGTTCTTTTTTTCCATAAATTGTTAATAATAAGAATTTCCTGAAAATGTTATGTTGTTTGTGTTGTTTTCATTTTGATAATCCATTGCATATTAAAATCCATTGCATTGTGTTTTTGTGTGGTTTTTGCGATATACTCGATAATGTCAAATTGCATATCGTTAAAACAATTCGTAGACGATATATATCGCTCACCCTTGTTAATGCATAGCAGTTGCGTTCTCAGTTCGGTTCTGAACGGTGCACACACCTGCTAAGAGTTTTTCAGTATGATTGTAATTGCGAGCTGCTTCTCCTCTCGGTCAGATAATCATGTGGAGGTCATGGAGGTGGACTGCGAGGCCCAGATTCCCTCCAGTAAGGCCACGGTGTTGAGGGGTCACGAGTCGGAGGTCTTCATCTGCGCCTGGAACCCTGTCACTGACCTCTTGGCCTCAGGGTGAGTCCAGCTGACCTCTCGGACCTCAAGAAGGATTTCTGATGCTGTTATGAGTCTGTACGACTCGCACTGGAACCATTGATTTTTCGCTATTGTGAAATGGCTTGAAACTGCATCAAATGCTTTTCTGAAATAACATGATAGACATAAATATTGGGGCTGAAATATTTAATAATTATTGTAATATTTTAGTTTTATTAATTTTATTTTTTATTAATTTTGTTATTTTATTTTTATTTATTTTTTATTAATTGTATCTATTTGTGTTAAGGATATTTTTATATTACTTTTTATTTTAATTATTTATTATTAATTTATTTTTATTAAGGATATTTTTTATTAATTTTGATTTTAATTATTTTTTTTATTTTATATTTTATTGTTTTTAATGTTGTAATATTGTACAATTTTTTTTAAAAGCAGCATTTTAAGTACATTCTTTTTAAATGTTGATTTATAATTCATGATATAAGTAAAAAAAAAAAGACACTACAGGCAGGACACGGTTTGGTTTTACAGTAGTGGAAAGAAAACAGCCAAAATACACATTTAAGTGTTTATTTTATTGCAATTTGTGTATGTGTGTGTGTGTATGCAAAAATGTGTGCATATTTAATTAGATCTTAAACTTAACATTCCAGAAAACTTGTTATACAAAAAAAATATCAATTCTTAATGTAATCAATCAATGGGGAAATACGGTGATGTCTATTAGTTATATTATTAGTCTTGCCTAAAAGGTTGATTGCATTATTTGTCTGGTTTATCTGGCAGCTCTGGCGACTCGACGGCACGCATATGGAACCTGATTGAGAACAGCAGCAGCGGCTCGACTCAGCTGGTCCTGCGGCACTGCATCCGAGAGGGAGGTCAGGACGTTCCCAGCAACAAAGACGTGACCTCGCTAGACTGGAACGTGAGTGCGCTGCTAAACATTCAATCCGGGGCCGCAAGACGCTTAAAACGACCTAAAACCAGACAAAACAAGCTTTTAAATAAGCTACAACAGCTAAAAATCTAGATCTATCTATCCATCCATCCATCCATCCATCTATCCATCTATCTATCTATCTATCTATCTATCCATCCATCCATCATCTATCCATCCATCCATCCATCCATCCAAATAGAAATCAATAAAACTGGCATAATTTTTCTTATTTTAATTCGTCCCTCAACAACTCTCACTTCTATTTAAGAACCAGGATAGCCTGGAAACATGAATTTTAAAAGTATGAATATGATTTTTAAAAGTGAGATTTCTAGACCTGGAAATTCTTGGAAAATTAATTAAAAAAAATCTTGGAAATGAATAAAATCTTAAGAAGTCATGGAAGTTTCAATAATGAATATACATGGCTCTAGTTTTGTCAAGCTTTGAAAAATTTTGAATAGAAATCCATGAGAAATTGCCATTACTGAGATATTTAAAAAAAAAGTTATCGAAGTGAAAAAAGTCACATGAATGAATGAATAAATAAATTCATCCCTGAAGATCATTCTGTTCTTTAACTTAACTTTTTTTAAACTGCTATAAAAAAATTTGGTTCTTCAATCTTCTGAAATTACAGAATTTATATTTATATTTATATATTTGTATTTAGTTTATATTATTTTTGTTTTTATTACTTTTTTTTATAAATTATTTAAATTTTAATATAATTACATTATATTGCAATTAAAATAATATAA